GGAACCACCAGCACGGCACGATACGTAGACGCCCGAGTCCACACACTTGTCACTCTCCGGTTGATCGTGACAAACTTTTTCATGCGCGACACGCTGATGGATGCACGGTTGAGATTGTACGCCGGCACGGGGGTCAGCTGCATGCTCGAAAATATATTATTCGCGCGCCACGTGCTCTGCCCGGCGAGAAAATTCACGAAATCGGTATACGAAGCGTCGTATGTCAGCCCGGGGTTCAGCAACCCACTGGTGTTCACCTGACCCTGCCCCATGTCCCACGGGGTCGCCACGCTCCCTGTATCCGTAGGAATCAACCCGCCGCGATTAGTCGTGGTGCTGGCCGTGGTCATAAACGCCGAGATGATCTGAGCTGGAGACCACGTCGGGTTCTTCTGCACAACGAGCGCGGCAAGCCCCGCAAGGTGAGGTGTAGCCATAGATGTTCCAGAAACCATGCCGAAGTTGGGAGTGGAAGCTTGGGCGAGGGATGGGGTGCGCCAAGGGCCCCAGAGGTTGACGCCCGGGCCGACGACGTCGGGCTTTAAGATGTCGTTGGTGCCGGCCCAGGAGGCCTGCATGGCGGGGTTGACGACGGGGCCGCGCGAGGAGAAGTCGGCGATGACTGGCGCCATGTCGTTGTCGACTGCGTAAGGGGAGGAGATGCGCGCTGTGGGCACTCGCCCTTGCGTTCTGGAGAGGTGGGGGAGAGGTGCGGGGACACGAGAAAAGAGAGAGAAGGACACAGTGAGTAAGAGGAGAAGTCGGCGATGACTGGCGCCATGTCGTGTCGGCCGCGTAGGGGGAGGAGATGCGCGCTGTGGGCACTCGCCCTTGCGTTCTGACAAGGGTTGGGGAGGGGTGCGGGCATGGGGAGAGGAGAGAAGGGCACGGTGAGACGGGGAGAAGTCGGCGATGACTGGCGCCATGTCGTTGTCGACCGCGTAGGGGGAGGAGATGCGCGCCGTTGGCACTCGCCCTGACGCTCTGAAGAGGTGGGGGTGAGGGGAAGAGGAGGTGGGGGAGAGACATGGGGAGAGAGGAGAAAGAGAGAGGGAGAGAGACGGTGAGAAGGGGAGAAGCCGAGAGTCATTGGGGTCATATGATTGTCCCAAGGGGAGAACTTGGCGGCGAAGCACCTCAGCAGCAAAGAGCAAGCACAATCCAGAGTTATCTCAGAGATCAACCAGGGAGATCAACCAGGGAGATCAACCAGGGAGATCAACCAGGGAGATCAACCAGGGAGATCAACCAGGGAGATCAACCAGGGAGATCAACCAGGGAGATCATCAACCAGGGAGATCAACCAGGGAGATCAACCAGGGAGATCATCAACCAGGGAGATCAACCAGGGAGATCATCAACCAGGGAGATCAACCAGGGAGATCATCAACCAGGGAGATCAACCAGGGAGATCATCAACCAGGGAGATCAACCAGGGAGATCATCAACCAGGGAGATCATCAACCAGGGAGATCATCAACCAGGGAGATCAACCAGGGAGATCAACCAGGGAGATCATCAACCAGGGAGATCATCAACCAAGGAGATCAACCAGGGAGATCATCAACCAGGGAGATCAACCAGGGAGATCATCAACCAGGGAGATCAACCAGGGAGATCATCAACCAGGGAGATCATCAACCAGGGAGAACCAGGGAGATCATCAACCAAGGAGATCAACCAGGGAGATCATCAACCAGGGAGATCAACCAGGGAGATCATCAACCAGGGAGATCAACCAGGGAGATCATCAACCAGGGAGATCATCAACCAGGGAGATCATCAACCAGGGAGATCAACCAGGGAGACTCCCTGGTTGATCTCCCTGGTTGATGATCTCCCTGGTTGATGATCTCCCTGGTTGATGATCTCCCTGGTTGATCTCCCTGGTTGATGATCTCCCTGGTTGATCTCCCTGGTTGATGATCTCCCTGGTTGATCTCCTTGGTTGATGATCTCCCTGGTTCTCCCTGGTTGATGATCTCCCTGGTTGATGATCTCCCTGGTTGATCTCCCTGGTTGATGATCTCCCTGGTTGATCTCCCTGGTTGATGATCTCCCTGGTTGATCTCCTTGGTTGATGATCTCCCTGGTTGATGATCTCCCTGGTTGATCTCCCTGGTTGATCTCCCTGGTTGATGATCTCCCTGGTTGATGATCTCCCTGGTTGATGATCTCCCTGGTTGTTGATCTCCCTGGTTGATGATCTCCCTGGTTGATCTCCCTGGTTGATGATCTCCCTGGTTGATCTCCCTGTTGATGATCTCCCTGGTGATCTCCCTGGTTGATGATCTCCCTGGTTGATCTCCCTGGTTGATCTCCCTGGTTGATGATCTCCCTGGTTGATCTCCCTGGTTGATCTCCCTGGTTGATCTCCCTGGTTGATCTCCCTGGTTGATCTCCCTGGTTGATCTCCCTGGTTGATCTCCCTGGTTGATCTCTGAGATAACTCTGGATTGTGCTTGCTCTTTGCTGCTGAGGTGCTTCGCCGCCAAGTTCTCCCCTTGGGGACAATCATATGACCCCAATGACTCTCGGCTTCTCCCCTCTCACCGTCTCTCTCCCTCTCTCTTTCTCCTCTCTCCCCATGTCTCTCCCCCACCTCCTCTTCCCCTCACCCCCACCTCTTCAGAGCGTCAGGGCGAGTGCCAACGGCGCGCATCTCCTCCCCTACGCGGTCGACAACGACATGGCGCCAGTCATCGCCGACTTCTCCCCGTCTCACCGTGCCCTTCTCTCCTCTCCCCATGCCCCGCACCCCTCCCCAACCCTTGTCAGAACGCAAGGGCGAGTGCCCACAGCGCGCATCTCCTCCCCCTACGCGGCCGACACGACATGGCGCCAGTCATCGCCGACTTCTCCTCTTACTCACTGTGTCCTTCTCTCCTTTTCTCGTGTCCCCGCACCTCTCCCCCACCTCTCCAGAACGCAAGGGCGAGTGCCCACAGCGCGCATCTCCTCCCCTTACGCAGTCGACAACGACATGGCGCCAGTCATCGCCGACTTCTCCTCGCGCGGCCCCGTCGTCAACCCCGCCATGCAGGCCTCCTGGGCCGGCACCAACGACATCTTAAAGCCCGACGTCGTCGGCCCGGGCGTCAACTCTGGGGCCCTTGGCGCACCCCATCCCTCGCCCAAGCTTCCACTCCCAACTTCGGCATGGTTTCTGGAACATCTATGGCTACACCTCACCTTGCGGGGCTTGCCGCGCTCGTTGTGCAGAAGAACCCGACGTGGTCTCCAGCTCAGATCATCTCGGCGTTTATGACCACGGCCAGCACCACGACTAATCGCGGCGGGTTGATTCCTACGGATACAGGGAGCGTGGCGACCCCGTGGGACATGGGGCAGGGTCAGGTGAACACCAGTGGGTTGCTGAACCCCGGGCTGACATACGACGCTTCGTATACCGATTTCGTGAATTTTCTCGCCGGGCAGAGCACGTGGCGCGCGAATAATATATTTTCGAGCATGCAGCTGACCCCCGTGCCGGCGTACAATCTCAACCGTGCATCCATCAGCGTGTCGCGCATGAAAAAGTTTGTCACGATCAACCGGAGAGTGACAAGTGTGTGGACTCGGGCGTCTACGTATCGTGCCGTGCTGGTGGTTCCTGATAATGT